GGGGAGAACCTGCACAAGGGTCCACAGTCAGGAAGATGGCTCACAGGGACAGGAGGGCTGGGAGAGGAGGCAAGAGGTGGCAAGATGGGGCCCAAGTGCCAATGTGAGATCAGAGGACTCTGCATTCTGCTCTCACAGCTAGCAATTCAGCCCACAGGAGGGTCAAGTCAAGCAGGTAAGAGCCAGTTGAAGAGGGAAAGCTGGTAGTGATGATTGGTTAGAGCTGGTTAGATAACCCAGAATCTGGGTAATGAGAGTGTGGACCAGAGCACTGGGGATATGCCAAGGGGAGAATGGATAAGCTTTGCTGATTTCAGGCTGAGAGTGAGAGAGAGAGTCGCAAAGAATGCTGGGAACAAGGAGCTGGCAATGCCTTAAGTACACAGGAAGAGAAGTAATAGAAGAGGTGGCTGCTAGGCAGCTCCGAGTTGACTGCTGGGGATCTCCATGAGACACGTGGCATTGGGATGGATGGCACCTGTCTGCACTGTCCCCTCCTGTGCCCAGGTAGACATTACTAATTGATGGAGTCACTCTCTCCTGCTGAGAACAGAGATGGCCTTAGCGCCACTCCTATTTGACTGGCATCTCTAAGTGGTGTGTTGCCTATTTCCCATACCTCCTCACAGGCATCTTAACCTGGGGTTGGGGGATTGAGAGCTGAAAGACATGGTTGGCCTTCATTGTCCCAATGAGGAAGCTGAGGTCCTCGGAGAGGCTGGGGTTGTGGGGGAGCAGAGCTAGGAACAGAATCCCCCACTGTGCCAAAGCTCCTGCTCATGCATTCAGCTGCCTCTCAGAGGGTAACTCACGGTACAGTCCTGGCAGCTCTCACAGTAATTATGAACAAGAGCATAAAAGACCGATGAACCTGCCTCAAGAAGAAACTGGCTCCTTTTATTTTTTTTTCTTTTAGAATCAGACATCAGACCATAGTCAATTCCCAGTGGAATAAAGGCTGGGCTAGTGGTAAGTAGGTGTACATGGCAGGGGTGCAGAGAAGGGAATAGAATATAGGGCTGTGGTGATTTCTTCCTTGGGCTTCACAGCATGGATCTGAACAGCATGGATCACTTTTGCTAAATTCCAAAAGGTGGCAGCATTCCATTATTCATTTCCTGCCGAAGCTGCAGCAGGGAACATCCTACAGAATGGACATGGGATGAAGTTAAGACACCCAGATGGCGGGAGGTCAGGACAGCTGGACAGCCCAATACTGAGAGGGAGGCTGGTGCCGGGGGACAAAGGGAAGATGCAGGGTGGAAAGGCACTGGAGAGGTGCTCCTGCCCCAGGACACCAAGAAAACCTCACCTTGGGACTTTCCTAGCACAGGCTCTGGGTGCACAGACCCAGGTTGATGCCCGGTATCATTCCCTCCTTAGAGTGTGGGTAAGACCTGTGACCTGCTACTAACCAACAGAAAAGATGCCTGCGATGCCAGTCCCATGACTGTGTTAGAACATAGATGTATGAGACACCACTTTGCTGGCCTGCCCTAGAGAGCGCCCCCAGCTGGCCTTGAGGAAGCAAGCTGCCATAGTGTGAACTGCCATGAGGGGCCACATGGCCGGGCACTGCAGGCAGCCTAAAGCAGAGGGCCCCATCCTACAGCTGCAAGGAACTGCATTCCCCCAACAACCAGTGAGCACGGAGGGACCCAGTGAGCTCCAGATGAGACCCCGCCCAGCCGGTGCCTTGTTTGCAGCCTGTGAGATACTGAGGGCCCAGTGCCTTGCTCATGGGTGATGAATGGGTGTTGTTTTAAGCTAAGTTTCAGGTGATTTTTTATTCTGCAAAGGAAAATGAATACAGTCTATTTCAGTTACAGAAAAGTGTAGAGGTTATGAAATACTGCTCTGAAATGAGGCAGAGCAAAATGGAAAGTAGGCTCTGCACTTAACTGCACTCTGTCTCCAGTATAGTCACGGAAGAGGAGAAATGAGTGTAATGTCCTTCTGGCTGGAGCAGTGTCACCTCCGTTTGCTTTAGGACATTCACTCCAAAGCCAAGCCCAGGATGCAGTATGAACTTGCATGTTTTGGCCTCATTTCCAAAATGCTTCTCATCGAGTGGGCATTTGACCACAGATCAACCCAATATTTAAAGACAGGCCTATGTCATGTATCCAAGGTTCACCTCAACACAACCACTTCATCTAGTGCTTAAGCCAAACTCAAATCTGCTCTAATATTCAAGCAAAGTGTGGCTGCCTTCGATGGATCCAAAACAGAAAGGTTGGCCTCCAAGCTGGCCTCCTCCAATGGAATCTTTTCCAAGTAACTGACCAGGTGTGATTTCCCCTTTCCTGCTGAGTCCAGAATCAACCCCACATCTAAGATGTCCCCCGAAATGTTCCTTGCACCACTGAACAGAAGCAGCTGGCCTTACCCTCAGCTCAACTCAGCTCAGGCCACAGTCTAATCCACAATGGCTAGTCACAGCAGGCTGCCACCAACAGAGGTCACAGAAATTATTGCTTCTACCGCTGACACATTAGGGTGGGAGTCTGACCCCTGGGTTCCAGCCAGAAGGACCCACAACAGCAGCATTGTGAGGGTTGGGGTGGGGAAAAGGAAGAGCGTTAGGGTCGTCAGATCTTCGCAGCATGAATCTTAAAATTCTGCAGCCTCCTGTGGGGAAACAAGCAGAATAGAATCTTTGCTTCCAGTAGAGAGAACCCATTGCCTTAATGAGATGGTGCTGGGAGCTAGGACTATCGAACCTAGCTCAACCCAAGAAAGCTGAAAATCCAGGGGCGCTTTTCTAAGCTCCTGAAAAACCAACAGGCCTCAGCCACCTTTAGTCCTATTGTGGGCAATAGCATTTAAGGTGGGGAAGTTTTCTCCCCACTTTCCAACTATTTTTCCCTTCAAAAGCTCCTTCGCTGTACCTCCAACTTCAAGACACTGGTAAGTCACTTTCCTGCTCCAGGCTCCATTTTTCCATCTGTAAAATGGGTTTAATGTCTTTTTGCTTTCTTTTCATAGACCTGGCATTAGGTTACAAGAATCGTATAGAACTATTAAGACATAATTACTTTAAAATTATGAGAAGTATGATAGCCAACCTCCAAAGTGGCTCAGATCAACCATCTGGGCATTTGTCAGTGTGTAGGCCCTACCACATACCATCAGGGATGATTGGCAGGAGGGATGGAATGCAGCAGAGGTGACGGCATGTGACTTCTGAGGACAGATCATAAAAGGAGTCCTGCCCCCTCCCCCTCAGATTTCTTACTCTAGGCCCTAGAGTCTAGGGGAAGCCACTAACCATGTCATAAGGACACTCAGCAGCTTTATGGAGATACCCACACAGGAGACACTGAGGCCACCTGACAATGACATCATAAGTGAGCCATCCTGGAAGTGGATCCTGTAGCCCCAGTCAAGCCTTCCAATAACAGTACTCCAGTTCATGAGAGACCTTGAGCCAGAACCATCCATCTAAAGCCATTCCCAGGTTCTGAACCCACGGAAACTATGAGATCATGTTAGTCCTTTTAAATCGCTAAGGTCCAGGGTAAATGGTTTATGTGGCAAGAGATAATGAATACACTTTCTTCCTCTGCAAATCATTTCCACACATAAAACATGGGGAGACTATTTCACAGGATTGGTGTGAAGATACAAGGCTGTTCTCCAGTGACAGGCTGGGCCAGAGGGGGAGTCTAGCCTGTGGGACTTTGGATGCACTAGTTCATTTCACTGGAGTGTAGGTTTCCCCAGCCACAAAACGGAGATAGAAGCAGCACTTATCTAATGGGGTCATTGTGGGGACTTAATGAGAACAGAGATGAAGTACTTAGTCAACTTCAAAGAGGGACCAAAAATGTCGGTTGTATGACTGTCATTTCTCATCATCTTACCTTACCTCTTCTTCCTTCTTCTCTCAGCATCATAGATGAACACTTCTTTTGGGTGATCCAGAAATCTATTATAAAACCCCAGCCTCAAAAGTCATTTTAGGGAACAGACAGAGGCCAAGACATGGGTTCTTGGAGAGTCGAGTGTGTGCCAAGTACCAGAACAGATGGGGCACACAGTAGAGGAAGCATGCCAAATGCAGAGCACACATATGGACACTACTCAGGGTCACAGGAGCAATTTTGATAAAAGAATTTACTCTCAGCCATTTCCTTATCACTATCACAATGTCCTCCCATAGCTACATTATTATTTCCAAACTCTTTTTCCATGCTCATTTTTTCTTTAAATCAACTTCACCCTTTTTACTTAAATATTTTCAAAAGAAATTTCATACCACTGCTATAAATGAAAAGCCAGTTTCGCTTGCTATAAAGATAATCATAAAACTAAATACATAATGATCACTACAAAACGACAACAAAAAAGTCCATGTGCCCTTCACCTCATCACACGGTCACAACAGTACACAAACACCACCTTGTGGGAAGGACCACGAGAGTCTGGCGGGAGTGCGTAGGGAACAGTGATGGAGGGAGCACCTTTGATCTCTGCTGCTGTTACCAGTGCCTGGACGACTTATGGAGAAGGCAAGGCATCCACACCACCAACACTCACAATCACCTGCCCTAGGACCACAAGTCCAATGCCAGGATGTGGGCCCCAAAGCACTCAGTGAGCACCGCACGGGGATAATCAAATAATATTAAATTTCCTTTCCATTTCCAAGCACCTCGGGGTCTATCCTCACATCAAGAAGTAAAGACGAGCCCATGGCTCTACCACCAGTCACTGATCCCCCAGATCTGCTCCCAAAGGAACTGGCCTTAACCAAAAGGAGAGCTCAGCTTTCCTATCAGGCTCCACACCGGCTGACTCTGGCCCCAGGTGCTTCCTAATAGAAATTCTGTGAACGCTTGGGAACCTTGATTCCCCTCAAGCCCAGTTACTACTCCAGCAAGATTGGTTTCAGGTGCAAACCACTCCTGGTGATTGATGACGGAGCCCAGGGAGGCTGAACAGGGTGCAAAAGCAGTTTCAAAATTGAATCTGGTCAGCAAAACGCATCTACTCACCAAGTCCTCTGGACTGTTCCTGGCACTGGAGAGGAGGGCTGAATTTTCAGGGTTGTAGTCCTGGCAAAAACAAGAACAAGAGGGGGGGGGGTGCACAGTGAGAACATAGTTCCAATTTGGAATAACCCCAAGAATTTTGAGACCTTTAGCCACAATCATTCATTTATTCATTCATATTCACTCTCCCCCGGCTGCTCTCCCCCCTCGAGACCTGCACTGCCCAATGCCCAGTACAGCAGCCACAAGCCACATATGGCTTGTCTAAATTCAAATATGCTATTAGTATAAATTACACACTGGATTTTGAAGACTGCATAGGGGGGAAAAAAGGAATGTAAAATACCTCATTAATATTAATATCTCATTAATATCTTTATATCAATTACATGTTAGAATGATAATATTTAATAATATATAAAAATAAAGTGTATCATTATACTTAAATGTATAAATATATTATGAATATTTAAAATAAAATATATGGTTACAATTAATTTTATCCATTTCCTTTTACTTTTTAATGTGGCTACTAGAAAAAATTAAATTGCCTCTGTGGCTGTCCTGACATCTCTGTTAGACCGCATCTAGGTTTTCTCCCAGTGCAGACACCACCCTCTCCTGGAGAGCCTCAGGGAGCCACACCCAGCCACCTGTTCCTGGTCTGGGGTTGACTTTCTGCTGGTTCACCCCAACAAGTGCTCATGTTAATGGAGTGTCCATGTGCACTCTTGTGTGCCTTTTCTTCTTTAACCCTCACAAAGATGTAAGGGGGAGATTGCAATCTCAGCTCATTTTACACAGAGAGGCTGAGAACTCGGCCAAAATAACTCAGCAGCGCTGCGGCACGGCCAAGGCTCGGACCAAGATGTTAAGGATGGATGTCCACCGTCGTCATATTCTCCCTCCCATGCCTCATCGCCTCCCCGTGAAGCACAGCACACGGCATGTCACAGTCGGTCACCATCCAGCTCTGAGTTGCTGCTCTGCTTCAAAAGTGCCAGCAGGGTCTAAGCTGCACATTTTTCCTCCCTCGAGCCAAGACCCTCTCCTCCTACATCCCTGAGCCTAAGGTCCAGAGACCAGCTCTCCTCCTCAGCCACCTGTCCCTCATTGAGCTAATTAGGAGGAGCTCAGGGAGATGGAGGGGGTGTGACTCAGTCTGCCTTCCTTGGAAGGTGTTTTCTGCCCTTCCTGCCACTTTCCGAGCTTTTCATGCTCTGTACTTGGGTGGGCACCTGCCTGGATCAGGTTAGCACAGTCCCTGTATCATCCTGAACAAAGCGTCAACTCTGTGCCCAATCCCCTGTGCCCATTCCTCTTCTTGCCTTAAAAATTGCAAGAAACACAGAGGTTCTAAGCCAGATGTGGTGTGGGAAACAGGCGAGGTAAGAGATGATGTCTCTCCAGCACCCATTACCCTCTCAGGGATCTGTCACAAATTAGGGTGAGCTCTCAGGGAACAGTGGCAGGTGGCATTAAATGTGACATTATTTGCATTAAAATGACCTTTAAAGGTTTTATCTTTCACAATAACAGGCTGGTTAAAGCCTCCTGATCAGTGGGACCTGCATGATGGGTTTCTAAGGATGGAGCCAGTAAGACATGCAGGGACCCTGGCTCTCAAAACGCTTGCCAGGCTACCCGGCCCCACTGCACCCTGGGAGGAGTCTGGGGGCTGAGAGAAAGAAAGCAGTTTGAGGAGCTTATGAAGCTGGGTCATGACCCCTAGGTGACCATAGAAGACACATAATTCTACCATAGCACCGACAGTGTATTTTCTAAGGCAAAAGTTGAAATAACTCCTTGACATCTGGATTGATTAGATGACATAATATATTCAAGCCAATCGTTCAGATTTCTGTCATCTCAGAGTGGTGGTGATGGAAACCTTCCTAATTACAAACCAAAAGCCACAGAGCAAATGATTCAAAATCTTGAATAATAATGTTTTAGGCATGAAAAATAAAACCTTAAACAAAGTGTACCAGTAAGACAACTTACTGAACAAAGAGCAATTTCCTACATTTATAAAGAGCTTCCCCAAGTCAATAAGAAAAACACCAATGGAAATCAAAGTGGGAAAAATAAGCCAAGGAGACACCCAGACAAGTCACAAAGGAGATGGCAAGTGTCTGCTCTGTACAATAGAGGATCCTCTACTTCACCCATAGCAAGAGAGATGAAAATTAAGATGATGTATTATTTTTACTGAGACTAGCAAAGATGACAGTCCGGCAACAAATCGAAGCAATAAGAGTGTAGAGAAACGTGTATTCTTTTTTTTTAATTAAATTATTATCTGTGTACATATTTTACCATTGCCCCCCCTTCCCATACATACCCACCCTCCCCAGAGTTTTGTGTCCATTGGTTGTACTTATATGCATGTGTACAAGTCCTTCGGTTGATCTCTTATTGTGTATTCTTATACATAGTGGAATTACACATTGCCCAAAATTTGAGAAGTGATAATATTTAACCATCAATTTCATTTTTTGGAATTTCTGCTATAGAATGTCTGCATGTATGGAAAATGACCAATGATGAAGAGTTATTGAAATGTATAGGTGTGTTTTTTTTTTAATTACAAAATATTGGGAGCAATATTTCCACTACTCAGAGACCAGGTAAATAAGTTAGGTGCATCCAGACACCCTCAGTAAAATAAGGGGAAAAGGAGGCAGCTTAATATGGAATGATTGGGATGGACAGTAAAATGCAGAGTGGTGTGACATGCCACCATCTGAGCATTGTTTTAAGAATATCTGCATGTGTGACATAGGCATTTGAAATGTCTAGAAGATGGATTTTTTAAAATATATTTTTATTGATTTTTTATAGAGAGGGATAGAGAGCTAGAAACATCGATGAGAGAGAAACATTGACCAGCTGCCTCTTGCACACCCCCTACTGGGGATGTGCCTGCAACCAAGGTACATGTCCTTGACTGGAATCGAACCCGGGACCTTTCAGTCCGCAGACCGATGCTCTACCACTGAGCCAAACCGGTTTCGGCGAAGATGGATTTTTTTAGAATTCTTTTAAAAATGGCTGACTTTGCTGAGCAGGATAGGATAAGTCAGGAAACTCATTTTACTCTTCTGACTCTTAATTGTGTATTCTGGGCATGTATTTTCATTGAAAAATATTTATTTTATCCTACAATTTTTATTTTATTGCGTAAAGAAAAACCATTTAAAGGAATAACATAGAGCAATACTAGCAGAGTCCTTTGGGTATGGAATTAATTTTTATCATTTTCTGGGGGAAAAACCTTAGCTCACACAATGTGGCAAATTATTTGGAGTTTCTTTGAACAAAGGCCTGCCACCGTGGTCTGAATGCAGAAATATTGGCATTAATGGCTTTCACCCAGAAATTCAAACATGAGGCACACAAGTACACTTGCATTTTTTGGTTCCCAGGGCAGGCAGTACTAATCGAGTGCTGCACTCTCCTGCTGAGCCCAGATGCAGTATCAGGATCCAATTCAACACACTCAGAAATGTCACCCATCTACACACTGACATGACAGCTGAAATCAAATCCCGTCCCTGAGTAGGGTGGTGTAGGCCCAGAAATTTGGAAGCAGGGTCTCCATTCACGTGACTCCTCAGCCTGGATGTGAATTTATATCACCAGCTTTTCTTGCCCTGCTGGGACCCCCACAGGTGCCTGGCATTGCAGCAGCCAACTTTCCAAGGTCCAGCTTCTGAAAATTCATTTGGACCCCACCTACCATCCCAGATCAAACCACCCAGAGCCCTTCTGAGGAGACAGACGCCTGTTAACCTTCAGCAAGGAACTCCCCCATTTCTCCCAACTTAGAAAATTCTGTGTAAATGTCAGATTAAGCTCTTCATTCCTCTGCTTTTAAAATGAGAGATAAAATTTAGCTCCCTATTCCCAGATGTTAAAATCTCTGCTTCTCCCCAGGGCAAAGAAATCAATGTGAGTAAGCTCCGCATTTTTTCCCCTCAGAACACGACCACTTCCAGCAATTTATTTGACTGACTATGCCTTCTATTACCATGTAAATTGTTTCAGACTGCAGGGAAAAAAAAGTATTAATCTCCTCTCAGTAAGTCATAAAATAAAGAAATCAATTTCAAGGTCAATTTAGCCCAAATAACACCTGCTGCCCTTTTTTGTTACATGCAAACTCCTCTGAAATGTGAGGCTGTTGTCTAAGGCGTCAATATGCAGCTACAGAGAACTGCTGTAACATCAGCCAGGGAAGCACCAGCGGAGACACTGGCCCAGTGGCTGAGTATGAATATGGAAAGAACAGGGTTAACAAGACTCAGCAAAATGACCCTCTGCAGGCCAAGGAAGGAGAGTAGGAGAAGAAAAATGGAGGTCAGAGTTGAATTCAAGGTAGGATTCTGGTTGACTTGCTGTGTGATTCCAGAAAAGTTACCTAACCTCTCTGGACTTCAGAGTCTGTATCTGTAAAATTACTTAAAATAAGATGAGGATTATGTCATCTTACAGGACCCTTCAGCGCAGTCCTTTTTGGGCTTTGTCAAAGTTAGACACCCAGGAGAACTGTCCTAGACAGCCTGATTTATGCAGCTACACTTCACCAAGAGTCAGGGTTGTGTTGTGGTTAAGGGAACAGGCTCTGGGTCTGAGTGTGTCCAAACTGTCTTTTTTCCATTCATGAGCTTCTTGACTCCAGACAAGATACTCCAGACTAGTCCCTGAGTTTCTTCCTCTGGAAAATGGAAGTAATGGCATGACCTGTTTCTAGAGGAAGAAAATTATCATACACTTTTAGTGGGTGAGTGACTCGACTTGCGGAAGTGGCGTGACTTGTCCGGGTTTCATAGCTTAGACCAGGCAGCTCCAGGCCTGAACCCTGGATCCCATGCACCCAAAGCTGTGCACGTCCCCTAGGCAGCACTGCCTTTAGGTTTATCCTGGCCCCAAGGTGGAGAGGGTGTCACAAAGCCAGAGCCTCCTAGCATACGCATGACTTCCCTCGCAAACCCCGGGGACAAACAAGGCATTTCCACAGCACGCTCCCATCTCCTCTGCCAGCACCCACAAACCCACCT